CACTCATTAACCGGGTTAATTAGTGAGGGATTAATGAGGGGCCCGGCCGCCCCTCCCCCCGCCTGGTCACTCATTAACGAGGGGTTTTTAATGAGTAATTAACGGCTGAAGGGTTTGTGGGGAATCGTTGTGGGGCAGGGGGCAGCCCCTCGTTGCTCATTAACCGGGGCTGATTGATTCATTAATTAATAATTTAAAATAATTAACTCATGTTTTCATCTTCCCATTAATTCATTTTATCGAAACGGGGAATTTGGGGGAGGTTATGGGGCAGATTATTCTCCCTTGTTGCTCATTAATCCATCAAAAATTAATAAGTAATCATGTAATTAATTCACAATTGTATCAATCAGTGAATTAATTTCATTAAAATGAGGAGTTTGGGAGAGTTTATGGGGCAATTATTCTCCCTTGTTGCTCATTAATCAATCAAAAATTAATAAGTAATCATGTAATTAATTCACAATTGTATCAATCAGTGAATTAATTTCATTAAAATGGGGAGTTTGGGGGAGGTTTTGGGGCAGGTTATTGCTGCTCATTAATAAATCGCAAATTACTAAGTAATCATTTAATTAATTCATAATTGTATCAATCCATTAATTAGTTTTATTAAAATGGGCCAGAACAATGGGGCAGTCACATGGCAGGGGACACCATTAATTAATGAGGGATAATTAATTAAGGATTATAAGCTATTATTTTATTAAAATTGTGAGGGGAGGAAATGGAGGGAAACTGAGGGAGGAAAAAAGGCGGGAAAACGTGAGGGGAAAAAAGGCGGGAAAACATGAGGGGAAAAAAGGCGGGAAAACGTGAGGGGAAAAAAGGCGGGAAAATGTGAGAGGAAAAAGGCGGGAAAACGTGACGGGAGGAAAAATGCGGGAAAATGGGAGGAAAAAAGGCGGGAAAACGTGAGGGGAAAAAAGGCGGGAAAATGTGAGGGGAGGAAAAAGGCGGGAAAATGGGAGGGGAAAAAAGGCGGGAAAACGTGAGGGGAGGGGGAAAAGGCGGGAAAATGTGAGGGAAAAAAGGCGGGGAAACGTGATGTGAGGGGAAAAAGGTGGGAAAACGTGATGGGAGGGGAAAAAGGCGGGAAAATGTGAGGGGAGGAAAAAGGCGGGAATATGTGAGGGGAGGAGAAAAAGGCGGGAAAATGTGAGGGGAAAAAAGGCGGGAAAACGTGAGGGGAAAAAAGGCGGGAAAACGTGAGAGGAAAAAGGCGGGAAAACATGAGGGGAAAAAAGGCGGGAAAACGTGAGGGGGAAAAAAGGCGGGAAAATGTGAGAGGAAAAAGGCGGGAAAATGTGAGAGGAAAAAGGCGGGAAAACATGAGGGGGGAAAAAGGCGGGAAAATGTGAGGGGGAAAAAGGCGGGAAAATGTGAGGGGAGGAAAAAGGTGGGAAAATGGGAGGAAAAAAGGCAGGAAAACATGAGGGGAAAAAAGGCGGGAAAACGTGAGGAAAAAAGGCAGGAAAATGTGAGGGGGGGAAAAAGGCGGGAAAA